TTTTGTTGAACACTTGTAGGGAGATTGAGGGAAAGTATATAGATTATGTTTCTACCATAGGAAAGAAGGAGTTGATACCAATTGGACCACTTATTCGCGAGGCGATCATAGGTGAGGAGGAGGATTGGGGGACAATTCAATCATGGCTAGACAAGAAGGATCAACTATCATGTGTTTATGTATCATTTGGAAGTGAAAGCTTCTTGTCAAAGCAAGAAATTGAAGAGATAGCAAAAGGGCTAGAGCTAAGCAAAGTTAATTTTATTTGGACAATCAAATTTCCAAAAGGGATGAAAACAACAATAGAAGAAATAGTTCCACAAGGTTTTCTTGAAAGTACAAAGGGAAAAGGGATGGTTATTGAAGGATGGGCACCACAAAGTCTAATTTTGAACCATTCAAGCATTGGAGGTTTTATAACTCATTGCGGATGGAACTCGATTTTAGAAAGCATGAGTTTTGGCATACCAATAATAGCCATGCCTATTAATCATGATCAACCATTGAATTCTAGATTAGTGGAGGAACTTGGCATAGGGGTGGAGATTTTGAGGGGTGAAAATGGGAAAATAATGAAAGAAGAGGTGGCAAAAGGAATAAGGAAGGTGGTAGAGGAGAAGACTAGGAAACAAGTATGTTTGAAGGCAATTCAATTGAGTGAGAAGATAAAATTGAAAGGGGAGAAAGCTATTGATGAAGGGGTTAAAAAGTTGTTGAAGCTATTATGTTGATTTATAAGAGAATGATGATGATGAATTGGATTGAATTTAGACACCACAAGTATTTAGATATTAATAAAGATTGAAATAAGATCATATTGTCTTATATGATATGATGTAATCTAGAGATAGGTTTCTTAAAATCATATTGTCTTATATGAGTTCAAACTTTAGTTGAACTCTCTTCCTTGCTGCAATATTGTGTATTTAGAGAGGATTATACCTCTTTATCGAAACACCGAAAAATATATACAAAGTTTAAATTATTTCAGACGTAAACAAGACATTTCAAAGCTAAAATTCACCACCAAAGGAGTATAATGGAATGAATGAAATTATATTCTTTCACCTTTTTCAAAGGTCTTTTGTTTGACTCCTAGAATTGGAGAAACTCTAACATTTTCCCTTTCATGAGCCCTACTTAACACAAATCTATATTAGTTGGAGTAATGAGCATTGGCCACGTGATGAATAGTTATACATATATATTGTTGGGATTTATGTAGTTTGATTAGGGTTGTTCATGGTTATGGTTAAAAAATTAAACCGATTAAAAAATCGATATTTAGTTTGGTTTGATTTTAAATTTTGATAATCGATACTATTTAGTTTGATTTTGGTTTTACTTAAAACCAACCGCAAAAATAACCAAATCGAACCGATAAATTAGATAATGTAAATTTTATAATTATTTATATATTATTCATAAATAAAATATAAATATTTTGTTAAATTTTAATGAACTTAAGTCTTTAACATACCATTTTCTCAAGCCCAATACTTAAATTTTAGCCCAACTATTACAATCCTAAGTCCAAGTCCATCAAAATCTATTACTTTAGTCTTTACCTACCCTACCTCACATAACAAAGTCACACCTTCTGTTAATTGAATCACTTTGTTTGTGTAATGTTAACTCTAGTATTGTTGAATTTGCTTAATTAAACCTACAATAGCTTTTCTGTGGAATGTTCATGTACTAGGTGTCTGTGTATATGGAGATACGTATGTCCTCAAAAACTTATTACTTTCAAACAAAAAAATCAGAAAAATTGAGCCAGACCAACAATAACTAAAGCGATGGTTATTTTTTTCGTTTGGTTTAGTTTTAGAAATTTTAAAAAATCGACTAAATTGGTTTGATTTTGATTTTAACCAATAATTGATCCAAACCGAACCAGAAACACTCCTAATTTTCATAATGACAGAAAAATGGAACATGCTAGTCAAGTCGATCAAAGGCGCATTGTCTCAATTAGTTGATTAAAAAACAATTATGATAATCTTAAAGAAGACAAACAAGTGTTGAATGATAGTGTTATAGTTTGACTACATCACCAATGAAGAGAAAGTTTAACTAAATGATGAGCCCAATTGGAAGTAGAAGTCAAAGTCAATAAATATCGAATGAAAGAGGAGTTTAGGGTGAAGAAAAACTTTCTAAAATAGATATGCTTAAATAGACGAGAACTCATTCAGAATACTCACACACTTAAAGAGCAAAAAAGCAATTGGCATATTTGTTTTACTGTGCTATTGAATATTGATAGAACACTTTGAAGAACCGGGTCCTATATATTACATATAGTTTATGTTCTAGGTGTTTTTTTCTTTGTGTTGAGTATTGATGTTTTCTTAGTTCAATAAGTTATAAACTGAAGTAGAATTATAGTCTTCAAGTTGGGGGCAACCCAAAGGCTTGGAAACACATACCCTGGAATGTTTGTGTGCTGATGAGAAATTATAGTTTATAATTTCTTAGATTACACAGGTTTATAACCTTTTGTTGCATGGATTTAGTGAATTTGAGAGTAAATCTTGTAGAGGTACATATAATGATTTTTACACCTTTTTGAGTTGACTATTTTCGTGTAAAAATAGTGTGTTTTTAATTAATTGTTTTATTAAAACACATTAGACAATTCGTTTCACTTACGCAAAAAGTTAAGTCAAGTAACGAAATTGTAGATCCCATAGAATACTGTGTATATACTTGCCACATGATGATTGCGACATGCTTAATTATTATTAATCCATCGAGCCCATTATTTCTTCATTGTCTATATACATTTATCCTTAATAATTCCCCTTCAGAGTTTATTAGTTCTTCGGTTATTGGTTAAATTTATTTTAGAACCAAGTGAAATGAATTTGTCCTCCATTAATAACTGGGGTCAAATACATTTTTACCATTAATATTTATTGGATTAAAAAATAAATAAATTTCCCTTATTTTTAAACGATTTAGACTTTTAAAAAAATTACGTTTTCTGACACTTTTCTTATCAAAATTGGACTCTCTCACTTCCACAAAGCTTAATTACGTGAACAATATTGTTGTTTCTTTTATATGGACGTGTCACATTATCACCATGCGACATTTACTACTTCTATCAGATTGTAGGAATATGTCACATTATCACTTCACTAATTTTCAAGTAATTTGAACCTAAAAAAATAGGGAAAATTATGCGGATAAGTAACATATATTATTTAATTAGCTAATATAGCTATGATTTGAATTAATTATCATTAGCAACCTTTTATTAGCTATGACTAGAGAGCGATGCTCGTGCGATGCACGGGGTCTAAGCTCAACAATTTGATTTGTAATGTAATCAAATATGCAACATTTATTATTAAAAAAAAAATGGACCAAAAGATATATCTTACCTTAAATTTTTCGTCATTACAGATTGTATTAGCATCAAGTTAATAATGTATAGTACCGTCAAAAAAATATAGTTGGTGCATAGTTAGGTTCGTCTGACAACCAAAGTAACTACACCTAAATATTTTAACAATTTATATAACACATTGATTTCATAACAAAATCACTACATGGGAAAGAATCATCAACAATTGCAATTTTGTAAATTAACCAAAAAAAAATCTCTGCCATCAGACGAAAATTGTAATGTCACACAATTTTTAGTTAAGTTTTTCTTAATCTTGCAACTGTGAACAATAATCTAGCTTTCATTTTTTCAAGCAGATATTTTTTTCATATGGATGTTGGTGCTTCTTCAGCGGTACATTTGTACCGTTCAGAAAAAGTAAAATAAAATAGGATTCAGGAGTAAAGTTTTCGTCTAAACCTATAAAAATGAAGTGACTCTCATGGAACAGTTAAATACCACTCTACCCTTTTCAATTTGTTTTCTCCATTTGTATTTCAAATTGCTTTCTCCATTTATATTTGGTCCCCGACGTAAGCATTGTGTGTTATTTGTTAGAAAGTCATCCACCTGGAGAGGAAGGCATAACAGAGAATTAGGGATCATGACAAATTTCAACCGAACAAATTAACACATTTTTAAATGGGGAACTTACATAAATATACTATATTAAGAAAATATTTACCATCTATAGCAATAATATTTTCTTTTCACTTGATCACTTTGAATACATTTATAATACAAATTTAATACATATTACAGAGAACACTTGTAACGACTCGAACTGTCGTTAATTAGGAAATGAAAAATATTGAGGAAATTTTGGTCTCCCAGCCTGCCAGAGTGGGCCTGATGCCGCTAGGGCGGTGGCGCTCTAGCAAGATAAGTTGCCGCCATAGCAGGATGGGCGAGACAGATTGTAAATAACGCAAAGTCTGATTTTCTCATTTTTCCAAAAACACCAAAAAGAGGCAGGATTACCCCAGAAACCCTTTTAAGGCTGCTCTAGGCTTGGGAAGGAAGGAGAAAGAGATTTCTAGCATAAGGAGGTTGATATATTGCGGACTTCCGGTCAAGATTCACCGTCCCGTCGCTCAAAAATCAGAATTGAAGCTATAATCCCGTGCAACTGCTTAGCACCCAGGTAGGCTGAATTTTATTAATTGAGTAGTATAAATTTGTAATTCACTGCATAGTATATTGGTAATGGACGGTAGAATTCATGTGTAGGCTTTTGTGCACTGAAAGGAGATGATTAAACATATATTCGTAGGGTTGTATCAGACATATACCGTAGGAGAAAGTACTACTCCATGAACTAGGGTAGGTGAATGCTTGATGTCATGTTTGTGTGATGTATGTTAGTGTTTGATTCATTGTGATGCATATATGTATGCGAATGTTGCACTGTTGATCACATTAAATGCGAATTAGTATGAATGGGTGATTGTATGCCTTGAACCAACACTTGATTGTATGATTTTGAGAATGTGCATTGTGATTGTGGCTTGTTGAATGGATCGGGTGTTACGTTCCAACACATTAACTGGGATCGGATGTCACGTACCGACATACATATTGGATCGAATGTCACGTACCGACATACATATTGAATCGGGTGTCACGATCTGGCACACTAACAGTTTGGGCTTGGGTTCCATGAGAGGACCATTGACTTGTCAAATATGTGTAATATTGATAATGTTTTATTTATTTATTTTTAAAAAAAATGAGGTTTTAGAGTCGCCACTAATTAAGAAAATTATTTTTTCAAAAGATTAAAACAGTAAATCTAATGAAAATATTTAAAGGAGGTTCGGGGTTCACATTAACATTTCGAAAAGGATTTGAAAGCACCCGAAATGCCCGCGAACACGCAATTATTCGGTAATTAACTATTTAGCTAAAAAGATAAGCATGCTTGATTAAGTTGCAGAAATAAATAATTTAAAACTTAAAATCATTTTCTAGGGGAAAGGGAAAATATTATAAGAATACTTACTAAGTAATTATTTAAAAGTCAAGCAAAAATAGATATTTGTTTAATTTTAAATAGTTAACACAAAACGGTTATTCTTTTGGGGAATTGAATTTTGAAAACTTTAAGATTAGTAGCAAATAATAAGTAAACAACTAAGGAATACGGATGGTAAAAGAAAAGAGATTTGGGCCCAAGTCTGATTTTCTCTTCGCCTGAGCTAGTAATTGGGGCTAATTTCGTTTTGGACTGTTGGTCCAATATTTAGTACCTGTCCTAATAACTAAATTTCATTCTTTGGGCTTTTGGCTCAATTCTTGCCCTCTGTATCTGTCCTAATGTCTAACCAATAGTGCTAATAGTTCATTAATAGTTCTCCTTCGCGGCTTTTAAAGAGATTGAGAGGAATATGCAAGAAATGGGAGTCCATTAGACTCATTCGGATATCACATGTGAAATAGAGAAAAATGGACAAAGTTAACACATGTAAATAGCAAATAACACTAAGTTTTCGAAAAAAACATTCAAACAAGGGATGCAGGCAAATAAAGCTACTATGAGTATGGGAAACAAAACCAGAGCTATTACTAAGTTTA